TGATGTGATGTTTATGTCCTTAGTGTAGAAACATTATTTATTGGCCATTATGAAAAGAGACGTTGTATATTGAAAAACTATGATGAAAAGTCCTTGTGTTGTGGGGAAAAGACAAGAGACTACTTTGTAAAAAGAGCTCATAAATTGATTATTGCTACACCCATTTAATTGAATTCTTTGCTATATTATAAGATATACCATTTGTGAATGATTGTAAAGAAAAAACAAACTAAACTTTCTATGCCATTATTTCTTGGTCAGATGGGAACTTGATACGACTGATTTTCCATCTGTTTACGGCTGGGACCGAGACATCCAGCACCACCATTGTTTGGTTTGTCTTGTTTATGATTCACCATCCAGATGTCTTGGCAAAGGTAATTTCCAATGGTTCATAGCTGAAAATATCCTGTGAGTTTGTTGTACAGTGGAACTCGGATTTAGCGAGCTCGGATTCAACGAGAACTCGGATTCAACGAGATGAGATAGATACCCCGTCTTTTTTTCTTCTGTAAGATCAATAAAAGTAACTCGGATTCAACGAGCACTTAAATCAGCGAGCTCGGATTCAACGAGGTCGCTTCTAGGGTGAACAGCCCCCGCAGACGTGGCTTCGCTAATTTTCTCCAAGAACAAACTTTATCAATTCCCAAAATCCATCCATTGCACCTGCATCATGAACCATTATTCACTTAGCCGATTGCATGCGACCAATCAGCGGCCTTTTTAAATACCAACACGTGTGTTGTTGGCACGCGTACGTGTTTACTCTGGCGTGTGTCGGGGTGGGATGGGCGGCCTGCACACGTGGGGCTGTGTGTGCATGTCGGGGAGGGGCACTAGCGGTCCAGGCGTTGAACGTCGCATATACAAACGCGTCACAGTCTTTTTCCCCCGGCAAGTGATCATTATTAAAATAATAAGCTAGTCTTGACGTAGATCTACGTAATGAATTGGGCGCTGGTCTATGGAATCAAAAGTTGCCGTATGCTCGGCTCTACGCAGCAACACAACTTTTTCTTGGTAAACAATCGAGATGACACAGGCTTGTGTATTTGAACGAATCGGTCTTTTTTTTTTACACAGCTCATAATATGCAGGCATTTCAGGCATTACTTGTGACTTCTCTTTATACCTTACTTGCTCAGTGCCTGTAATTATCTACACAAAACCTCGTGTTTGCTATAACGAACACTCGGATTCAACGAGATTTTAGGTCAGGCCCAACGACCTCCTTGAATCCGAGTTCCACTGTAGTGAGTTTTCTTGTCTGTGTTCGCTAGAAAACTTTTGTCAGTGTGCTGTAGAAAATTTCAGTCTGTGCGCTTTCATGTAATATTTCCCGTCAGAGGATGTTTTAAAATTTTGTAATTTCATCCTGTATACGGCATTGCATGCTAGTTCACTTCTTTTACCTTTTTAATCTCATCTGTACCACATATCCCATTTAAATGAAGTTGAAGATGTCTAGTAACAAACAAAAATTTCAGATTGGGAAATCTTGCCTCAAGAGCGTTACCATGTTAGGTCACAGATGAATGACGACCAGCTACAGGTGTCTTGGCCTTGGATCCAAAAGCATGCTGTATTGTGCATGCTTAGTGTGATACTGCAGTAGCATATATATTTTGTAACATTTGGCATTGAGTATCAACTTTTTTTGCTTTTTTTTAAGTCTACATTATTTTTTCTTCTTAAGATATATAAGGAAATTGAAGATGTTGTGGGAAGAGAACAGGTGCCATCCATCCAGGAGAGAACTAAACTGAACTATCTAAATGCTTGCATCATGGAGACTCAGAGACTAGGCAGTATTGCGCCCTTTAGGTGAGAATCACTTCTTTTTACCTAACAAGTAATTATCATAACAGCGTCCCTGGTTGTAATGCTTGTGTGTTATTTATTTTTACCTGAGGACCTGAGTATCTTCCAGCATTATTGATGCTTTCTCTTTAAACCAAACTTACCACTTTTAACCCTTCCAGCCCCAGCCATTTTTGTGCACTCCCAAACCCCAATCTCGACCAATACAACAGTGTTTCAGAAAAACAGGCGTGTATTCTAAAAAGTAATGTAGTATCCTTGTAGTGAGGTGTATAGAATAACATATAACTGTGTTTAAAGGTAAATGGACAAATATTATGAAAATTAAAGTTTAATTAGAATCGCTGACATTTCGAAAAATGCACAAATTCGGTGCCCCTCAAAACTGAGGATATACGCCCTTGGGACGATGGGAGGTACAAGCGCTGATGAAAATATATGTACATGGGGATGGAAGGATTAACATTTTAATTTTTAATTATCCAAGGTTAAAAATGAATTTCCAGTCCCAACGGCACTGATTAGAGTCTTTTCCTTCTTCCTCTGCATTGATAAATGCTTTGCTATACCTTTTGCTCTCTGTGTTTGCTTTTCCAGTGATTTTCATAATGTCGTTTCTGGGAGTTAGATTCTAGTGTAAAGTACATTAAGACCTCAGTATACTGACTTATATGTTACAATATTATGTTAATGATTCATCAGTGCTCTTTGCCCCGGCACCCAAAAGTCTGTACCTGTTCCCTCACCCATAGACCAAGACTGAGGACAAGCCATTGAGTAGTGACTGGAATATAATATATAGTCTCAGATAGTGCCCGTCATGAAGCTGTTGAGGGTGTTGGTGATCTTAGAGTTCAGGATCAACTCTAGAATAGAGTGAGGATGAGAAGCAATAAACGTCAAAGAGATTTGGAGTCTGTTAGAGTCTAATAATAGAATAATGTGATAGGATTAGAACATTGTTTCTCTGTGCTACCATGAACTCGTGTCTCTATAACTAACCTACTGCATGCTTTTGTTTATAAGGCCTCATACTGTTAGAGCACCATTTTCTATTTATCTTTCTTCTTGCTTCTATGTTAATTTGTTTGTCTTTTTGGGTCTTTCCTATGTTGATGCACTTGTCTTCAACTCGAACTGATATTCTTTATGGGCATAAGTTCTAATTAATACAGTAAAACAATATTGAACGTTGGAATTTGATTTAAATGAGTGTAATCCTTTTCAATATTTTATAATGGTCTTTTCAGTCTTCAGCATTTGTGCTCGAAAACAACAACTGTTGGTGGATACACAATCCCACAGGGCACTGTGATTATGCCATGTCTGGACTATGTGCTGCGCTTTGATAAATCTTGGGGTGACCCTCACAACTTCCGTCCTGGGAGATTTTTGGATGACAGTGGAAAGTTAAAAGTCTTTGACGAATTTGTGCCATTTTCTTTGGGTAAGCTTTAGTTGATTTAGTTAAATGTTCTAAAAGGCTGCCGAGGCACTCATGTGCTATAGTTGCCTAGTGGTTGAGGGATTTGTGAACATCAGGCAAGGTTGAGGTCACTACTTTTAGATGGGTGGTCATCTGAGTATTAACCCTAGCACATAAAGATGATAGTGCAAGATGATGACAGATCAGCTGTGACTTACTACTACTGTTTGAACTTTTTTATTTTGTTGTGTATTGATTGTTATGCATGCTGTTGTAATACATGTCTCCCTTTTAGGTAAATAAACCTCTCTTTTCTTTTTAACTCACTAGAGCCTATTCTCGTGTATTTAGGGGGCACCCCGCTTGCCAAGTGATCTAATCACGTGTATTTACGGGATGCATTTTATCGATCGGTATCTTTGGTGTTTTTCAGTTACAAGCTACGGGAAGCTTTAAGCCAACAGTTGACCCACTTGTTTTGTTTCGTTAAAAATTTGGTGAAGTTATGTGCGAGACTTTTTGACTTTTGAACTGTAAATGGACTAAGTCAGTCACCCCAGACATTACCATTCGAAAATATTGATAAAATAAGAACTATTTGGACATATTAGATGCAGATTTCTTTTCCTTTGATGCTTCAATATACCCCAAAAGTGTTGTTGTTGTTGTTAGCGATCCAGTAGCATCTGAGCGTTAACTCTTCTGCATGATGCCATTCGGTAATAGTTGCATGTTTGTTCTAATTGTTGTCTTGAGGAGTAGAGGCAATTAGATGTGTGGGGTAGCTTGGGAAGAAAACATCCCCTTAAATCAGTTAGTTTTCTACAGAAGAATAGATGATGTTCCACTGTCTCTGAGGGGTAGTCACATAGTGGGCAGGCAGCAGACTGCTTTACTCCAATTCGGTTGAGATGTTGGTTGAGAGGTACATGTTGTGTTCTAAGTTGGAAGATTATGGATTGATCTCCCCTCCTCAACGCATTGAGACACCCCAAAAGTGTTAGGCTTCAATTGTTGTTGGGTGCGAAAAAGTTTAGGCTCAAGTGAGTTAATAATACCTCTGCCCTTCTCTATCAGGGTGCTCTGTTTGCTCAGTTGGTAACTTGTTGGGCTGTGATGTGGATCACCCTGGTTTGAGTCCCTGCTGTTCTTGAACTTGGGTTGTTTGGGGAGTTGTCATGGCTCTCCACCCAACTGGCTCACTCTATCTATTGGAGATGAACTGTGAATGGAAGGTCCTGTCTCTTCAATAGCCTCACAGCTTTTCAGGAGACATTTAACCCTTATCATATAATACTCTGTCTCTGGTTTGCCTACTCTGTCACCTGTATGTCTGTTTGTATGTATGTTAGGATGGTCAGATCAGTTGGCATGTTGTTTTGTAGAAAGCATTAGAATTTATGTTTGAGAACTGATTTCTGTACTTGAATTGTGAAATTTGAATAAGCTTATTTTATACAGTATAACATGGATAGATCGATAGTTTGAGGGATCCGTAGTTCGAGGCACAGTTCAACGGATGCGTGATTTTGAGTCTTCAGTGTTGGACCAATCCGTGTTATACTGTATTTCTGTCCTTTATAAAGTATTTGCCCAGCATCATCTAGCTGCTTTAAATTTGAGTTTTTAAAAAGCACATCGACACAGTAACAGTCATTCAGTGCAAGAAGAAGCAAGACATAGAAACACAAATAAAACAGGGAAAGAAAAGAAGCAGGACCTACCAGAGGTGCCTTTTAACCACCCACAAAGCCGCTTTGCATAAATGGACTTTGAAAATATAAAATTCAGGTGATTATGATGAACTCAACTGTTTCACCATACCTCTCTAAAAATGATTTATGGAAACAAAGCAATCGTTTTGCCATACTTTGTATTTGTGATTACGTAAACAAAGCAATTGCTTCACCATACTTTGTCTTTGTGATTATAACGGAAACAAAGCAAATGTTTTGCCATACTTTGTCTTTGTGATTATAATGGAAACAAAGCAATTGTGTTACCTTACTTCTACCTTTCGTCTTTGTTTCCTCAGGTCGTCGGGTCTGCCTGGGTGAGTCTTTGGCCAAGATGGAGCTCTTCCTCTTCCTGGCCAGGATCTGCCAACGGTTTGACATACAACCTGCTGTGAAGGGTCAACTCCCATCTCTCAAAGGTGTCTTTGGGCTAACAGTTACTCCAGAAGCTTATGAAGTCAGATTTGTGGAGAGAGAAATGTAACGCTCGTAGGGTTTTTTTCCCCAATTTGGAATTACTGCAGTTTGTTCGGGGTTGTTGTTTTTTTGCATCAAAGAAATTATGTTTGCGGACCTTACCTGAATGGTACCTTGTGGTGATTTTTTTTCACTAAAATTATAACTTTTCATGTCTTGAGACTTTTGCTAAATTCTTTTATTCACTTTAGTTAGATGGTTGTGATAAAACTCAACTATTTTATCATACCTGTCCCAAATTTGCCTAATTTTGATGATTATTTTTTGTTTTGTTTACCATACCTGTGCTCTTGACAAGTCTTGTGTCATCTTTTTTACTTTCATGTATTGATTATTGCAATGCTCTACGAGCTAACCTACCTAATACCATTCTTCACAAATCTCAACGTTTTCAAAATCGTGCTCCAGGGTCAGACAAAGGATCACATTGCCCCC